TACTAAGAAATGGCCTTCTACCTCCTCTGCAAGACTCCTAATAAGCTGTTCCTTGTCCCTTCTTAACAGGGACCGAGTTCTGTGCACATGAGAACAGTGCAATTCCCGATCCCCTGTCAGACGAGCCGCACGACATGCATCTGTGGCTTCCAGTGTCTCCAGCGAGATGGAATTCTGTACTGCTCTCGGGCGTACACCAATCGTATCTTGAGCTGCATAAAGCGTTTCATGCTTAAAGGTATCCCACGGAAGAACAGGGTCTGTCAGACTGTCAAGCATTGCGAAACTATCAGAGATTGCCTCAGCAAACCCGCGGGCACACTCCCCCTCCCTCAGCCTGTCCAAATGAAACACCCTAGTGTAATCATTTGACCGCTGGGGAGTTTAGAAGTGGACCCGGAGGGTAGCCACAACCAATCTATGGTCAGTACCACAGAACTCAGCACTCCTGTACACCTTGCAATTCTGAAGGATCCACCAACGGGTGCTAACGAGTATGTGGTCGATCTCCTTGGCTGCATTACCTGCATCACTGTACCATGTCCAGCAATGTGGGTCTGGGCACTGGTACCAGGAGCCAGAAATCCTCAATTTCTGGGACCTAGCAAAGTCCCGGAAAAGGAGGCTATTCTCGCTACCAGCATCAGCTCCTGAACCATAGGGACCGACAGACATCTCATAGCTAGCTCGATCACAGCCAGATACTGCATTGAAGTCACCCAGAACAATGCGAATATCTCGCCGGGGACATCTGTCTACCACAGATGTAAGTTTGGCGTAGAACATCTCTTTCACGTTAAGTTTACAAACATCGGTAGGAGCGTACACAGCAATAAGAGACAAAGCCAAAAGATAGCTTCAATCTCAATACCATTATACGCTCATCAACAGGAGTAACCTCTACTACCGAGGGCTGGAGTCTGCTGGAGATGGCAATGGCTACTCCCTGGAGATGGTGGCCGTCACTGCGGCCCAACCAGTAATAGGTGTAGCCACCTACACAGGTCATGCCGCTGCCAGGCCTCCTCACTTCCGAGAGAGCAGCCACCTCAACTGTCAGCCTCCCCAGTTCCCTCGACAGTAGAGGCAACCGATCATCCTGACGCAAAGAACGGACGTTCCAAGCCCCCACCCTGACTTCCCGCCTGAGGTTCAGCCTCTGGCAGTCGCTCCGGGTGGATGCCACCTCTGCCACCCCCACCGACGCTGCCCCATATAAAAGGGGGTGGAGGGCTGCGTGCCCCATCATCCACCTGTCGGGTTCCCTAGGGCTTTCCCCCACATGCTTCACTTTGGGCTGGCGGCCACCAGAGCGCAGGCGAGACGAGTAGTTCCCGTTCCCAGCCGCCGCTCCAGCAGTTGCCCTCCCAGCAGGGCCCACAGTCCGCCTCACTTGCTGAGTGGGAGGGACTTTTCCCCTCCTCCCAGCCTTTCCGTTTAATTGAGGCACTGCCGATTGGTTATATCTGGGGGGAGGAGGACTGGCAAGGCCCACCTTCCCCGAGCCTCCCATTAACCCCAGGGGGCTAGGGGGCAGGAGTTGGTACAGGGCCAGGGCGTGTCCACATGCCGGTGGGCCATGACCCTGAACCTCTGGGGCCTCCTGCTGCTCCGAGATCCCCCTCAGTTTAGCCTGGAACCGCAAGGTACCCAGTTTCCATGGGAGGCCACGAGGAGGCACTGCAGGGAGTCTCGATGGTGGAGAGGCTATGCACTGGCATGGGAGGCTTATGCAGAGCTGCTCCCTTTTTCGCACGAGGCTAGCCAGCGGTAGCAGCTGTAAGCGAGAAGGCATGCAAAACCTCTTAACACTAACTAGACTACCACTCCATCGCTTCACACCACCCTGCGCATGAAGCAGGGTGGCATGAGGAGATGTGGTTGGGGTTGTCGAAAAAGAGTTCCGCCGTTTCGCAGGAGCAAAGGAATTGAGAATTACCCACGCGAATATAAACCTCTGCGAAGAAGATCTCGGCAGTCTAGAGAGTCCGTGACATCAGTCATTTCTACACATATGAAATGATTCCCTGCTGGAACGAAATAAAACATTGTGTTTTGGAATTACCTAATAAAGTGGCTCCTAGTAACAGTCTCCTGACAACGTGAAATGTTCTCTGATGAAGATAAATTAAGAAAATCTAAGAATCACCAAACAATTACTAATATCTTTTTGTAATAAATACAGTAGATATCATCATCATCATCATCATCGTCATCATCATCGTCATCATCATCATCATCGTCATCATCATCATCGTCATCATCATCGTCATCATCATCATCTCATCATCATCATCATCATCATCATCATCATCATCATCATCGTCATCATCATCATCATCATCGTCATCATCATCATCATCATCTCATCATCATCATCATCATCATCATCATTATTATTGTTGCTGTTGTTGTTTTTGTTTTTATTATATCATTATTTCTTATTACGATTATTATCATTATCATTATTATTCATCATCCCCATCCTTTTCATTATATG